ACCGCCGATTAAATCTGGTTTCTGTATTCTTATGCTTTCATCCTTTTCTGATTTAGTAGTAAACAATATTCTGTTTAGCTTTCGACATAAGCACAAACAATCCACCAGCAAAAGACGGGCAGTTAGATGTATCAAGATAACAGATTCCTGAATCCGCAAATATAGGAAACAGTTAAAATGGCTTTTAGGTACGAAACGAATTGACAATGGCTTCGAATTCAAGTTTACCAGAGTTATGTGATAGGGTTGACTGAAACTGATATTTTCTGATATTGCTATAACTTATCACGATGTTTGGATACTGACAAAATTCCGAACCCTTTTCTTGGGAGGTGTCCCGCTCACTAGTAAGCCACTAATGAGTTTTTTCTGATAGATTTTACACTGAAAACGTAGAAAGATATAAATATAGTCCTAGCACCGATGAGCGTGTACATTGATGTGTACGTTAAATCGAGTTCTTCAGAAATAAATTATTGTCTTCAAAGGATACGGAAACTTCGACTTCATGTACCTCAGTTTGTAATTATGAGATCTATTAATTCCTATCATTTCATTACGGATGTGATGTGTAATGGCATTGGATCCTAACGACAATCCTCAGGGCTAAACATGAGATAACTGGGAAAATAGACTTTCAGCATGTAACACTACGAGAAGTTAAATAATGGTGGACGCGGTAAAATTCACTCGAGATTGAAATAATCAGATGGCAAGGCTCAGCCTTGTAAGCGTGGTCATTCTTGTGTAACTTATCTCCTTTATTCATACGAAGTACATTGTTCTATCTCCAACCCAAATGTGTTCTCCATCATATATTGGTGATATTGCGATAGGACGAGTCAATGCAGACAAGGATGTGACTCTCACGTAAGATCCTATAGATTGGGTTGTTATATCTTGACAAATCTTCAACTTCAGGATTAGGCCTATAACTATAATAATGCTAACAACTAAGTAGACTATAATTCTACAGAAGCGCTGTCATAGGCTCCCTTGGATAGCTTATGGTCAAGCAACTAAAGTTTCACCTCCTAGCCCTTCACTTCATCGACCATGATCAACTGCGATTTAATTATATCTACTCTGAAGACATAACAAAGTACGTCAGAGTGTCAACAGTACTGTTGTTAGATACAAACTGATATAATGCCGCGAACGGTCTAAATTGTGGCGGCATGAACATAATATAAACTTTCGACTCGCTCCGCTTTATCACTACATTTATTACTTTATTACTATGATACATTGAGTACATGAGCGCCAACTCAATGGAACTAGCATTCAACTAAAGAAGATTCGGCAGTGTTTATATGCCGGCCTTTCCAACTAACACTTTGTAAGGCGCATAAGCTGGAGTTCAAACTACAGACCACATTACAAGAATTGACAATAAATATATGCCACGTAAATTTTTGATTTTTTTCCAAGACTTCTTTTATTCAGTATATTTTATAGTGCCAATAACAAAAGCTGGGTACCTATGTTTTGTTTAATTTTTTCGAAGTAAAACAGTACACTGATCATGAAGCGAAACTTCATATGCATGAGAACAGGGAATTTTCGAATTTTATTTATTAAGTTGGTCAGACTTTGATTACCTGGCACTATTTGTAATTTTTTGGCATATTGCATGTATATTGCACTTGCATACTTAAAATGATGTCAACTGGTAACATGGATTCCATATTATACGAGTACCGAATAAGGCGATCCTTATCAATCGTTGCATGAGAGCTCCTGGACTCGTTCCCTCCTTTATACCATTGTTTAAACCACGAAGTGTAGAGGGACGATTTCATTTTAGTGTCCGTTTATCAGTCCTCCTGGAAACCCTTATTGCGACGATTACCAACGTATACGACATTGCGAAGTTGAAGCAAAGCTATTCACAATAGTCTATTTCTGGAGCACCACCCAAGCGATATGTCTGGTAGATAGCGGAGCTATAGAATGGATAAATATTTATGAAGTATGGTATTACAGTTGGCACACTTACGACTAAGAGCTGGGAATATGGAACTATGCATTCAGCCTTCACAGGTAACCGAAATCCGAAAGCTAATTAAATCAACTGCTCATAATGTGAATTATCTAGTGTCAAGTGCAAGCTCAAGTATCCTGTCCAAAAAACTGTTATTCAGCATTGCATTCTAGGGATAGTATCAGAAACAGATCATTTTAACACTACTTGATTGTCTCCTCAAAGTGCCATCTGAGGCTAGTTACCGCAGAGAACTTGGACACAAATGTAAGCCAAGTAGTGGACGCAGTTAATGCCTACTCAACTCATCGCTTTATGTGGAGATAACCCAAAATCGCTCAGAACCTTTCAAAACTTGGGCACGGCCCCACCCCAAAGTTCAAAATGTTATGGTATCCCTTCTCTCTAAACAAGATGTCGATTTCCCAGACCAAGTACAGAGGCCAGTAACTGAATGAGTGATGGGGATAGGAAATAAATCTTATGAAGGCAGATTCAAAAGCTTTTGATTATTCTCGCTGGGCTGTGGGAGAATAATGCGTTATCTGATAATGACAGACCAGCAAACATGAAGGTGGGGAGATAACTTCAATCCACCCATGTCTGTAGGGCAGAACATTTTGTTTAATTACGGCTCCTTATGGTTTAGTGGGATGTCACGGACTTAAGGTATTGAAGCTGATTTATCACGCAAAATACCTCTTTAAATCGTGTTACGAACGTTAAATTGGTTTCACTTCCTACTCAGAAATCCTATTACAAGCAAACTAGACAATTCGCTAATATACGAAGCCTACTCAAGACCCTATAAAACCTTAAAAAAAACGAAAGGGGCTCTAATAGCTTCGATAATAAAAGGAAGATAGCCAGTTGTATATCACAATACTGTTTCTAGCACTATATTTTATTTTATAATCACACATAATCTTATACTCTCAGCTCTTTTCCGAGTCGCCTCCATTTGTCAGTTGTATGTCCACTCACACCTTGCTAAAGCTTATTTTCTTTAACCTATTAAAATGCTCTTTCTTAACAAATACTTTAATAAAAGAAAATTAGACTGAGTAATCATACCTTAAACATTCCTACATGAATATTGGCTACTCTGCCTCTCGTGTTTTCTTTTACTTCCTCCCTCTTTCAGCTCCCTTGAGATATGGAACAGGTTACATCATCCTGCACCATCCTTAAAGCCTTGGATATCCCAAAGGGACATAAGGTTGCGATTTCTAGAAGCTCATACCTTCAATGGACCTATTCTTGATCGTCAGTCGCACATTCGCAACGCAACTCTCGTGAAGCGCGCCAACTGTAGTACTGATTAAAACAATCTACATTCATGTCTTATAAATTTTCAACCCAGCTATGTAATTTAATACAGTGTATATTGTATCATTTGTATCAATTTGATCTTGCCTGTAAACTGGCATGCCTCATGTAACAAACTGTTATTTGAGAATAAATTATTATTATTATTATTATTAACACGTTAATTAGACCAAGTCACGCCACACACGAGGATCCTACCAGAACATCAATACCACCCTCCTCAAAAAACCCCTGAAAATCTCAACGCCTGAGGGCGAAATCTCTTGTTTGAACCAGCTGTACCTGATGCCTGCCTTGTAGCTTATTTATTGTTGTCATTATTACGTATCAACTTATCGTTATCCCACTTATTATCATCTTCATTTTGCCTCCTATTCTTATACTTAGGTCTTCTCACACTGTCTTCAGTACCAATCATTTAACCCATTTATTTAATTCTTAAATCAATCCTAATTTCCTGTTTATTAATTTCTGCATCACAATCAACCAACCGACCCCCAAACTGACAATATGATAGCCTCTGGTATCGAAAAACCCGACGATCCTGAGACAAACGTACTCACTGAGATAACGATAAATACAAACCCACAAATACACATAATCAGAATGATTGGAGTTAGTTCAGCCGAGTAACTATGCTTCCGCTCATCGAACATCACAAAATGCCTTGAACCGTACAGAAACAGTAAAAAGCGAAGGTAGATAAATCAATCGATCCACATATGCTGATCACTGCTGATCCACTGCTTATTTATTTATCCGATAATGTCTAAGTATCTAATGTAAGTACTTAAATGATTTGAAATCAAATTTAACGGAATTTCTCTCTTTGTAGCTCATTGATCTGAAAATATATGTTTTATGAGATGTTCTAGGAGTGAAATATAATATTATGGACTTTAAGCCAAACCTAGTTGAAGAATCCATTCATCATAGAATGAGAGACACATATTTCACTAACTATATTTAACCTTACTTTAGTTTCTAGAAAACATGTTATTAGCCTTTCCCAGTCTACGACTGAAGTAGTTGTGTCTCCTGTAGCTATAAGTTACTTGTTTGCTCGACGCTCTCTTGACATCTGCAATACAGTGTCGATTTTTGACGAGAAATGCTACTCCTCTACCTTTATGATCTAAGGTTCTGTCCACAAATGCTGTAAAGTCCTTTAGTTGGATCACGCTTCTAAGAATAAAGTCCACTGAGTCCCATTTGCTGTTACGAGTCCTAAGTTTATGTAAGCAGTTTAATATCCTATCTGACACGAGCTTTAAGACAACGTGCTTGTACAGTGTAATTGCACAAAAACCCAGTGCGTTGGAGGCATTTGTCCTTTTTAGAACAGATGCTTAATTAGCTTTTTACTTCCAACTATATGTCACTATAAGAGAGCGAAAACGCCTTAATCCTTATAAAATCAGACTTTTGTCGGCAGTGTTTACTCTCCAACACTACTGTGGTGATTCTTACTACCTACTCAGTTGAAAATCTTCCTCTCACCACAAACACTATGGTTGAAAATTTTTGTTAAGATTATATAATGTTTTGAATTATTCGAATTGTATTATGAACTAGGAATCCCAGAATTAACGCAATTGAATTAAGAAGTGAGACACAAGCACAAACGAATGTATTGTATTTGGAATTCGAAATCGAACATTCAACAAGTACAAAGGCATTATTAGTTCGTTCAAACACCACAGAGTAACAAAATGTTAGCCTTCAAATAATAAGTTTTGTTTTATAGAACCACTATTTGAATGGACAATAAGAGTGGGTTGTTTGTATTTTTATTTAGTAGCTGCGGGTGTGGGTAATTATGATCACATTTTCTCACTTATTACTTGGTACTTTCGTCTTAATATAAAAATACTATTTTATAGTTTACTGCGTGCATCTGACTCTGAAGATGGCATTTTCGGCTGATCCAGACCACTGTCCAGGTAAACATTTTTAATAAGTAGCCGTTTTTCATCATGCATCAAGATTAAACGTGTTGTTATTTAACCGAATTTTTGTGTTTGAATGATTGGAATACATAAAAACTGCTCTAAAACACTATATAAGCTATTTCCCAACTTCTTGTTCGCTTTCTTGAATCTGACATGTTGGTAAATTCGCACTACTCTATAACTGATTTCTCCACAAAACCTCAAGGCAACCGTTGTATGTTATTATTAAACAAATTTCTGTGGTGCATTTTGTCGTTCAGTTTGACGGGAAGTTTTTGTATGAGACAGAGACAAATGTTTAGTTTTCCAACAAAATATATTTTATTTCTCACATGACTGCCAGACAACAACATAAAACCAAGACAACGACGTCATCGAAATGCTTTGGGAGATAAAAGATTAAGGAGGATTGCGGTTAACATTTTATATCGTAATAACTTGGCGAATAACTTTTATACTACTATAAATAACGGCAAACACAAGAAGTGTGTCAAGGTTAGAGATAGACTTGTGTATCAGCCCACTGTGAGAATGTGCAGTCAATATTAACGAGCGATTAAGTTGGGTGACCAATGTTTTTTTACATCTCACACTTTTGCAAGAGATTAGATCTTATGACGATAATCTCTACAGTCAAATAAATTGTGTCGCGATGGGATCTCCATTTGAACCTCTTGTAGCAGACTGTTTTATGCACAATCGGTAGAACAATTGCTAATCGGAGGATATAGATATTTAAATGATACTTTTAATGTCTTCGACCAAGATAGCTTTAATGAAATACCACAAGAGTTCAATAATTGTCACCACTCGATTAAGTTCACAACAGAAGCAAAGTTAAACTCAGAATTTCACTTCCTCAGTGTTTTACTGGAAGGAAGATCATATGGATCTTTACAGCGACCGTTCTACAGAAATCTAACCTGGAACGGTGAATATACGAACTTCTAGCTTTTGGTACCTCTAAGTAACCAGAGAAATTTACTTCATTCTCTATCTTCAAGAGCCTGACAAATGTGCACTGAAGACACAATTAACGACGAGCTAAATGTTATCCGACGTACGCTTTTGAAGGATGATTCACCGAAGTTCATTGACAGTGATTTAAAACCCTAGTCAAATCGGAAGAGCTCTCATGGTTCCGAAGAAATTTCTATCCTTGAACATCGAATTCAAGGGAAATATGGCAGCTGAGATATTAAGGAACAAACTTTCTAGATTCTTGAAAAAGACTAAATTCAGCAGAGTTTCAGACTGTTTCCTCCAGTAAGAAACCCATTCAGAGGTGTGTCGATGATAAACTGCCGCTTTGGGCCATCTTAATATGCACCTACCAGTTTATTTGCCCCTGTGGAAAAAGTTGTATTGGCCACACAATGCGCGCACTTGGTAAGAAAACTTATGAGAACCACCGTACATGATTATCTAAAGGGTTATACGAAACAATCAACGGGACAGTACCAAAACGTATGGTCAATTCAGATCACACCCCACCACACGAATCTGCGTTCAAAATCCTCTACAAAGTAAGAAAAACTGGCTCGAAGAGGTTTGAATGAGGAATTTATACACAGTCGAAGCTATAGCAATTCACAGTCTCGAGTCAAACTCTTTGTACAGAAGAGTCATGCTCGATCCCTTATTCTCCCATGATCTTAGCACCTCTTCTAATTTTACAAATTATAGTTGCCACTTATAATAATAATACTTATTATTATTATTGTTAATATTTATCTTTTATTCCATAGGTTATTACTTATATTATTTTCAAAACCGTTACATAACGTAAACTCTTGGTGACTTTTGATCACTTTGTTATATGATGCAACCTTTTTTATTCAATACTTGAAAAATTTTAATCACGTTCAAGTAACACTCTCCCATCTATAAATTATTAATTGAAGATTTTTTGATACTCTCGACTATATTGTACAACACAACTTTATTTTAATTGAACTGTATTTGGACAACTTTGATGTTTTTGTAAAATCCCTTTATTTTACTGTAGACTACTACGTGTAAAACATCATCTATTAATGCAATTGTACGGCGTCAGAAAATGATATAGTCAAAAAAAGGACTTTTTCTGAAGTCTTCATTTTTATAACTTTTATTTAGTCTGACTACTGTCTGACCTCATTGCCACTAAGTATGTAAAAGTTTCATTGTATGTCAGCACATAAGCATATCTATTTGTGGGCTTTTACTGAGGATCAAGCCAAACCAAAAGTGGGTAGAACTAAACTGTACCCCCAACCAACTTTAACTAGTTTAATCGATCGGGAAACAGGGAAAACAAAAGTGTAGTTTGGAATAAGAATATGAATTTTAAATTCATTGAGTTATAGCTTATATTAGTTCGTGACGAGGACCGAAACAAAAAATAATAATGTTATTTCCCAACACTAGTTTTAAATATCATTTTCATACATACATTTTGACGTTAAGGTAGTTTGCACCCTTTGGATAGTAGGCATGAAGTGAATGTAAGCAATGAATTCGAAATAATTAATGAACAGAAAACATCAGTCTTACTCCTTTTGGTAGAGGCAATCGCTATCAACCGTTTCCGACCTGACTAATACATGCAGAAGGAGAGTGTGATTAGCCTTTCCCCACCATGGTGATTGAAGGTTCATCTGATAGCCTTTATTAATTTTCAATTTCATTTAGGCCCTGTCCTCAACCTTTTATCTTTGTTTTTATTTCTTATGCAATCCTATTGATGTGGATATATTCGTTTATTTTTCATCATGTTGAGCGATTGCCAAAACACTCATTAATTTAATTACCTTTATCTTGGTAATGATTAACAGTAACTTTGACATCCTTTTTACTCTGCATTATTACTTTCCAGTGTATAAATATAAATCGATCTTGACCATGTTCATTCATACATTTTGTGTCCCTATTCTTCTTCTTATTATGGTTTTCGTTAAGTTTCGAACATTTACCTAAAATTCACAAACTAAAGTATGTTAAACACTTGTTGTTAACCATATTTGTGTTAATAATTGTGATTTTACGTTATATGCAGCTGATGAGAAACCGTGAAATAGAACAGATTCATTTTATTGTTCAAATATTGTTGTTCTTGTTCTGTTTAAATTTATCAAGTGGTCTGGTTGTATGAAATACGTAATTGTTTCATTTTGTTTTAACCAATTTCAAACTTCATAAAACTTTCTCAGAAATGTTAGAATTACAAGATATGATTTCATATCTTGTACACTAGTCGGGAGATAGGCGTAGCACAACTTGTAACTTGATGTTATATTTTATTGTCATTTTTTGACAGGACATAAAACTGAGTAAACACCATAAGGATACATACTTTATGTATATATATAGTGGTAGTGTCTGTATCGCAAAGTGAACTGCAGCAATGAATTTCACAAATTTAATCAGTGTAAAGTAAGTAATGTGTAAATGAATGTAAAAAATTTCGAAGTTTGTTCAGCTTATTCGACTTTTCAAATCACTTCTTTCACCATTGATTAAAGATTATTTTGTTATTTGTAAATTTTATGTCATTAATTTTTATTATGTTTGTAATCTATATATTTTACGAAAGTCAATAAGGTATACTATTCACTTGACCAGTAAATATTCATAGTATACCTATATAAGTGTACAGATATTTCGACTTCATTTCGCAACATTTTTTTGTCTTTTCCTTCTATAATTTGAGGTCAACGAATTAAATGTTACAGTTGTAATTCTGTTGAAGACAATCACTGTAATGATCCATTTTTTCGACAACCACAACAGACCAAATCATTCCCTTTAGTGGATTGTAATGATTATTGTTTTAAATGGGCTTTTCAAGGTCCAGGTAAACTAAAAATATTTTTCATTATATACTTGTACATCTTTTATGGTTAATTCAAACATTGATATATTTGATACTATTTTATATTATACTGCTTGCTTCAATCAACTCTTAATATATGTGTGATTAAAATACAATTTGTATATTTGTATTTATTAGTAATGAAACTTTTATTGGAATTTGTAAGTGTTAAAATAATTAGTATGTGGATGTATATTTTAGTCAGTCTGTGGGCTGCTATAATTTAATTCGAGGTAAATCTATGTGAGTGGCCTGAGAAAAGTAACAATCTAATCACTTACTTAGACAGAATTTTCAGCCAAAGATTACGTAATACACGAGGTAATATGAATTAAGTTATCCATAGTAGGGTGGGGGTTCGTGTTAAAGAACCGCTGGGATGTAATAGTTGCATGGTGAGCTTAATTTTCTGCGTCATCAGTTTTCCAAATGTGTATATGTTACCATAAATTCATATGTTTTAGATCTATTTTGATTAATTTTGTCTGTCACAGAGTGTACTTACATGCCTTCATAAGATAACTATAATCTCTCGCAAACTTGGTTATTGAGATACTCAAGAAGTACTACTATGATGGTTTGTATATGATCCTCCTCTCTCTTTCAGAAGAACATAAAATACATTCGGCAATCGAAATATATATCATGGGAACAAGAGTTGTCGTAAATATTTACGGATAAATATAAAGTGACAGTTAATCACAGATTAAACATTTCTTATACATGTTTTTTACATATTTATCCATTCCGGGATACTTTTAGTTAATTAATGACAAAAGCAATGGTTTATTCATACCATTTGCACGAGCTATTAACTATCCGGATTCAGTAGTTCAAAGGATAACTTATTGATTGTTTAAACGAACAGTACTGGGTTCGAGTTTCATTATGAAAATTAACACTGCAATATAGGTAAATCTGCTTGATAAGTTACAAATAAGACGAAATGCTCATCCCCGATTGCACTACTAGCAATTATCCAATTTTAACAAAGAACAGTTTTAAAAAAATTTGACCTAATAATGTGGTCTAATGAGTTATGTATTTATTTCTGCTTTTTGTTTAATCAGTTTAATCAGATATTTCAAAGATAAACGGTTATTATCTGTTTAAGAAGTTATTGAGATATGTTAAATTACATCATATCATCATAAAATTGTAATTGTGTTTATTTCAGTAATAACCCATTTCTTCGGTTTGTCAGTTATAATATACCTCAACTTTAAAACTAGTGCATACTACTTGATATTCTTGATTGGTATTCGTAGAAAACTTGTTATGGAGTATAGTAGAAGAAGATGGTGTTTCACACTAAAATCCAAGCTACTTTTATTTAACGATATAAGATCGAAGGTCTATGTGTTAACCTTTTCTATGTATCCTACTTGGTCAAACGAAGGCAATATATACATACGGGTACATATATATGTACAAATACATAATAACTTGTTTCTCAACTGACGTTGTTCGTTTCAGAAAACAAAGACAGGTTTCTTAGTTTCACTAGTTCTAAGCGTAATTTTCTATTCGGCTACTTCTATAAAGAAGTTTTATTGAATATATGACTATGAGTTTATTGTAACATTCTTGAATCCTCTTTACAGTTGAAGAGGTCTTTATATATATATATATATATATATATCCGATCTACATCAAACATCTTGCTATTATGAACTATACGTTTATTGTACTTTGACTAATCTGTCTCATTCATTGATAATATACTTTTTCCATACACTATAAAAGTCAAAAATATTCAAAAGAGTTAGTCAAACCCCATATTTAATACATCTTTTTTCTCTCCCATATCCATCCAGACAACTTCAGTTTTTACTTTAACTGGTACATGATACGTGTAATGTGCATGACTTTTTTCAATTTCTATATTCCTTCTTCATAGATTTTACTGTTTTTGTAAATACTCAATAGCAGAGTCTCTGATTACACCACTAAGTGTTCCGAGTTCAAGTTTCACAGATAGTATCAGTTCCCTCAAAATTATTGATACAACTTACTGGTGGTACATTTTACTGATTATCCCTAATCACTAATTTACAGTGTATTTATTATGGAATTAGAACTTCTTTCTCGTTATCTTGATCGGGTCGTCTGACAATACAGAATTTACCAATGACTTGTTTGTTTATCGAACCAACGATTTTCCCTTAAACAATGACAAAAATAGTCATGAACAATGACCGGAAATCATTAGTTCCTCTTATCCCCAGTGGCCAATCAGAAGGTGAAGATAGCGACCAGAGTTGCCTTCTATTATTATATTGTTCTGTATTTTCCTCCTGACTCAAAACTCACAGGATTATATACTTCAATTATATGACCACAGCATACATTACAAATAAGAAATCACAACTAAGTTATATGTAGTATAAAACTAAACATTAGGTTTATAATAAATTAACGGTAGTCTAAGAACAGTAAAATATATCACAACAGTGAATGTTTACAAATGAAGGCTTAAAATAAGAGTTATATGATGAAAATACGATAACATATACAATAATTCTCTATGAAATAGTTTTAAAAACTTCATTACTCCCAATTATTGGGGTGAATAAGAACCCGGGTGCGGACAATCAAGCATTTGACTAAAATTTGAGAACCATATAGTAAATAGTTAATTTGAAAAATATCAATCCATCGTCTTAAACTTAACAGTTCATTTTGCAAATATCAGTCCATTATCTCAGATTTCATTATTCATGCATTTTTATACCAATTGTGTTCCGTTCCCGTTCTTTCTTTATCGATCTTCTACTGAAATACATTTTATGCTTGACCGTCGTTATATACTACTTATATGGATATAAGTAACCCACACCACAGTATTACTTATTAGTAATTTTAAATATTTTATAGTCTATCAATAAATATTAATGCATATAATATTTGTTGTTGTCTTTCTTTCGTTATTCATTTAGATGGACAGAAACATTTAATACGAAATTGTTCAACAAGTTTAAATATGAAAATGGAGAAATATTTAGTTTGTATAGCTGAATCACGATCATCCATTGGTCATTTGTGTTTTTGTAATAAAGATAAATGTAATTCAGCTAATTCAATTAGAAAACAATTTCATTATACATATTATATTGTTTTAATAAATTTAGTTCAATTATTTTATCATTATCGATATATACTACTTATATTACCTGTATTGTATTATTAATAAGTATAATGTATTTATTCATAGCTATACCTGTAGTTATTTATACTTAACTTGTATAGAAAAATTTATGTATAGATTTCTATGAACTTTGTATATTTCTATCTACACATAATCCTGAGATTGTTACGTACTTACTTACTTACTTACTAACACCTGTTACATCTCATGAAGGAGCATAAGCCACCTACCAGGATTCACTCATTGAACTCTATCCTGAACAATTCTTTCCGATTGTTATTGATTTTTTTTAATGTCTGTTTCAAAATTCCCGATAGCTGAATTGTTAAACTATGAGAGTATTCAATAACAAGAAAAAAAACAACAACAGAAGAATAAACTAATATAGATCATAATCATAATGGAATCAGTTCACAATGTATTCAATTCAATCATATATACAATAACACATTTATATACATATATGTATATTTCCTTCTTTTTTTGTATATTGAAATGACAATTCAATGAAAATGAGTAATTAGTTTATTACATTCAAAATAAATGACCATTATTTTCTTTTCATAAAAAGGGAAGCATTTGGAAAGAATTTGTCTTATGTAACAGGAAAAGAAGAAGAATACCTTTAAGTTAGTTGGTGATGACTATTATTTTCGTTGTTCTTTTTATTTATTTATTTTTTATTGTAAAGGGAAATAATTACGATAGAGAGAGAGGGAGAAAAAACCATTTTAATAGATAATACAATTTGCATTTAGAGTATTTATTATTGTTATTATTATGTTTTTTCTTGTGTTATTTATTAACAAATCTTTGATTGTGAATTTTTACTTACGTTTGTTACTCCCAATGGAGGATAGGTCATTGACCAATATTCTCCAATCCACTCTGTTTTGGGTTTTCCTTTCTAGTTCTATCTAATTATTGTTCATTCTTCTCATGCATGTCTCCATTTCTTGGTGTAATGTGTTCGTTGGTCTTCCTCTTCTCCTTTGAACTTGAGAATTACAAGTGAGTGTTTACCTTGTGACGTAGTTGGGTACTTTCTTTACTGCTCTTTAACCGACCTGTCTGGCATGGTAGGACATCGAGAAACGATTGTTCCAGACAGTATAGTTCGATTTGTTCATTACGATAGGCAAGCCCGACCACCATGTCAGATTAGAACAACGGTCGGGCTATCAAAAATGTATGTTTATTTACTGCTAAACTATTTTATAACTATTCCTGAAAGAAAAGCTAACAAAAAGTGATATGATTTCTAGAAGTTTACATTGTTGTGAATTACTGATTACTTACTTTGAAATCAATTTTTCGACATATTGAAATAGGATGTATTTAGAAATTGGAATAAGCTGGTTAAAAAAATCCTAATAACTAATTAAGCCTTCATTATTCATTATAATGAAAATTGTAATAATCAATGAACTGTAACTGGTTAGGGCATCAGATAATTTTGTAATTTCTGCTGGAAATATGTTAAACAAGATATTACATAATCCTAAAACTTTAAACTGAAGGTACATTTAGACATATTACGGTCTACTTAAATGATGTTCTATTATTCAGTTATCGGTTCTTTTTATTTTCAACCTATAGGTATATTGCTTCTAGGGTAATATAGAGAAAGTATAACTTTTTTGATAACGTTCCCATGAATACAAAACGAGAACTGTAAACAAAAAAACTATCGAAGGATAGCTCAGTAGGTATTTAGTGTATGCTACTTATGTCTGTCAACATAAGTAGTATATAACCTCAATCGGAAGTGGAATGCCTGGTAGTAGAAGGTCGTGAAGATCGAATTGAAGAGAGCGGAAATGTAAACAGAGAGTAATTGTAATAGCAATGAAGGGACGATGAAGTTTGAAACAATTGATGGAAGATTTGCGAATCAAGTATTTAATGTATGGTTTTTCACATTTTACAAAGGAACTATAATTTCCATAAGCAAAAATGGACGGTGGCTAGCAGTGGAATCGAAGACATGCGTTTAGTTCTATTTGAGGCTCTTCAGCCGGACGTATCCGCATCCCCGAGTTTATGTTTACTCCCTGTATCGAACCCAGTACAGTCCGTTTCAAACATCATCGCGTTCCCCACTTAGTTACTGAGTCCTAATAATCACCTGCTTGTGCAATGTGGCAAATTTGAAACTTACTTGGTATTGTTTGGACTGAATAATAAATCGGTTGTTCTCATCAAGTCTTCGTTCATTATGGACACAATGAACATATGATAAAAACAAAATAATCAACAATTAACTATACTCAAACGAAACAACAAAAAAAGTTAGAGGTTACCTTGTGGAAAATACAAATATAAACGACTGAAATAGGTTATTAATTGATTGTTTTGTGGCTTTAAAGCCTATTGACAATGCATTTGAAAATGTAAGTAAAATTTCAAAATATCACGAAAAGAAACCTGAAAGATTTTGTATAACACAATAAATGGAAGCTTTATGTTAAAGAACTTTCACGCAAATGTATTGACGTAATAATTTCCAATATGAAGGGTTTGTTACTAAGATAACGTACTTGGTAGGATACTAAAGTACAGTAGTATTGTATCCAGTTTTAAAAAAATGGAGATATTCTACTTTCAATATTATGTAAACGAAGTTTATGGAATAAGAATGTTTATTTTTGTAAAAAACTGTGTTACAGCTTAGTTGGAGGAATTTCGTGGAGATTAGTTCAGTTTACAGGGCTGTATTCCTTCACAGATTGATCTCAGTTGAGTATGTTTGAAAGTTCAAGATATTAGATAGTTACTCATTCCTGGTATAAAAGTCAGAAGTGCATATCCATAACCTCACCAGGAGTCGTACCAAGAAACTTCAGATGTCGCTGCAAATACTGAACCATTAGAACCATTGGGTGAGTTTCCAGTTGCACAAATTCAGCTAGACCAGAAGGTCCTGGTCTTAGTCCATGGTGAAATGGAGGTTGTACATTTCCGGGGAGTCTCATGTGAGGATGAAACAGCTGGTTATCAGTGGTATCTGAAATGTGATTAAAGAATGATGAATACCACCTGTAAATTTTACTAATCTCTACACAACACATTCAATAAAACACCGTATAGTATATCGAGCTACATTAAAAATATGGTTATTCGTTTTCAATGTTCTTCGTTAAAGGAAGAATCTGGAAAAATAAGGTCATGCATTTCTCAATGAGTAGTTGACAGTCACTATGTTGCATCAAGCTCATTGTTCAAAAATATTGATAAAACCAAAGGTAGTCTAACAAAATGTATATGTTTGTGTCTTCTTTTCGATGAGGAAGCTTTAGATTTATGCAATCTTCAACTATGTATACAAGAGTGGCTTACAAAACCGTTTTTGTTGCTATGGTCCTAGTGTAATCTCAGATTCCTAAATTTGGGACATTCTAACATCGTCCATTAAAACGTATATTCGTTTTGTTGACATACTATCGCTTGTAATCATATTCCATTATTAATCATATCAACTGGTGGTTATCTACCCTGTGAAATTACATCAAATTACTTCAATATGCCATTCTGTTTTTGGTCCATTAGTCTCACATACTACTGATCTCTCATATTTCTTTATTTGGTTGGTATGGTGATTCATACTGATAAATCTACCAGTTGAACCCCAGACTAAATCCACACGGCGACCTGAACACGAGAGAAAAGGCGTGAAATATGGGAGGAACACTTTACTCCAAGGTTAGTTTATGTACAGAAAATCGAGTGTATTTATAGTATTTCAAGTGGCTTTGGGCTTCCGGAAATTTCCTGGGCCCTTCTAAATATTGCAGCAGGATAGGTGAAAACCCATTCAGAAATGCGTCACGTGAATTTTCACTTTCTAGATGTTTCTGAGACACTTTATTGAATACTGATTGGATAAGATGTTTCTCAGCGTTTTCAGGGCCCCTTTGTGCTTTTTTCGAGGAATTTTCTGGGTCTCCCCAATATATATTCACTCCATAGCTCTTGACAATAAAATTGCCGATAATTTTTATGGGAATAATAATACTTTTGCTTAAGAATGGTTCTATTTTAATCCAGTTATAAACAGAACAAAATGATGGTATTTCTACTTCTTAACTAAATTCCCATTATACTAAAACACAATTATATGAACGAAGAATATTCTTTTCAATAATTTCTCATCAGGTTCCGCTTTTAATGCAGGTAAACTAAAATTAATGTTTTCCTCATGTCCAATGATTACTATGAGGTTGAAAGATAAATTGCCCAGATTAACCACATCTTTCTGTATCTATCAATTCAACTGCTCCTGTAGAGCAAGTTATATTGGCAGATGTTCTAGGGATTTGTATATTCGGGCTCGTGAATACCTCCCAATGTGGTTAAGCAAAGGTGTAGTTAAAATGGTTAACAGATTCATTTTAGCTCATTTAATTTAGATGAGACATACAGCCAACATAGAGTAATCTTGCGCAATAATATATAGTGTTAATAGCAGACTGAGAATCCTGCAGACGGCTGAAGCAATTGCTATTCGAATCAAAAAGCCAGGGCTTTGCATCTAAAAGAAATATGTTCAGCTGCTCCTTTTACCCTGGCCAATTTCAAGGCCAACTAGTTAATAATCAATTTTATAATATGGTGGCATAGTTTGATTAATGTTCATTTTTATGTCCCAAATTCATATTATTATTATTATTATCTTTATCATTGTTATTCTTATTACACTTGATAACCTTTTCCAGAAATTTATTCAGGATCCGCCCCTATCTACTATATCTGACCTAATTCATATTATTCTACATATATACGTAATTTCTGATTTGTAATTACCCTATTCCGTCTCTCACTCCATATTGATCCTATTTATTCTGATCATTATTTATCTCACAATTTCATTTCACTTATAAACAACTTCACATTAGTCAGTCCCAACAATAACGACATGACAAACAACAATCCTTGATTCACATGTTACAACTATAAATGATGAACTCTGGGTTAAGTCTGGTCAATCTTATGGATTATCAATTTGGAAATGAGATAATTTTAGAACCTGATGAGAAATTCAT